TTAAAATTTGTATTAAAATCATTCAAATATATATATATATATATATATATATATATATATATAATTCAGAATATAAAGACCTCTAAGAATTCAAGATCCTGTAAAATAGATACAAGTTAATCTATACAAATAAAATAGTTTATTAAATATATATGATAATGGTTGATTTTTAAAATAATTTTTATTTAAAAATATATTAAAATAATATATAATATTATCACATCAAAATAATATAAAATAAAAATATATTTTTTTTTTAAAAAAGACACCATGTAACTTACTTTAACCAGCTCATTGTCGTCGAATCAAAGCCTACCATCTCACCCTCTCTTTTTTCATGAAAAGCCACCACCGAACCTTGGCTTCTTATAACAACCAAAACGCACGACCGAAACTTGGCTTATTTATTTACTCTTCGAAAGTGTAACAGTGATTGTCATACTTTAATTTTTCATGCAGTAAAAAATCCTCAAAATTGATTTAAAGTACACTTTTTATCCGTTTTCTTTTTCTTAACAATGATAATGATGATATTGAATTCAAACTCTTTATAATGCATATCTGTTCAACTTTCTTTTCTAATTTTTTTAGATTCATACAAGTGATCGAGTCAATTTATATGTATTATGATCAATCCTATTAATTTTAAAATTAATATAAGTTTTAAATACAACTAATTTATATATATTTTGATTAATCTCATCAATATTAAAATTAATAATCATATAAATTTTTAATAGATTTGAAAGAACTCAAACTTATAATAATTAAAAAATAAATTTAAAATTTAACTATTTAAGTTATTATTTAGAATTTTATTAAGTTTTCTTCTAGAATATTGATTCTACAATATTGATGTTAGGAGAGAATGAGTAATGTATATATACACTGTAAAATTAATTTTTTATTTTTTATATGAAAAACATGTTTGATCTTGGATTCATATCTTAAATTTCTATTTGGATGTGATTTTTTTAATAAAAAAATAATATAAATCATATTTTAGATCTCATTTAATAACTTAAATTATTTAGTTAAAATGATTTCTTGACATGCTATTAGAATTTTGATAATTAAATGATTATAAATTAAAATCTCATCATTTTTATTTATTTGATTAAAATTAAGAATAAAATAGTATAAATTTATGCAATTACTTAATAAAATATATTAAAAAATAATATAAATAATATATTAAAACTTTACCTAACAATTTAAACTGTTAAGTTGAAATAATTCTTTGATAGAAATAACAAAAACATACACTTTAATTATTTAATTTTCTTTTTCTACTTGATAGTGATGTTATTATTAGTGCCCTTGTAAATTTTTTTTTTTTGTGGTATGGAAAACATGTTTGAATGCATATATGGAATTCACGACTAATATGGCAATTACCCTGTCCCTTAATTTGAAATATCATTAATAGCTTGAACTAAAAATAGCAGTCACAACAACAATAACATACTTTAAAATTAAAATCATAATGATTATACTGAATTCAAACTTTTCATAATAAATATTTGTTTCGCTTTCTTCTTGATTTCAGGGTGAAAATAGACAATGTATATATGTCACCAAATTAATTAACTTTTTATTTATTTATAAAAGACTGACAATTTTTATTTTTATTTTTATGTGTGAAAAACATGTTAATTTGAATGCATATATGGAATTCATGACTAATATGGCAATTAACCTGTCCCGTATTTTGAAATATCATTAATATTCTGAAATATTAATGACATTTCAAAATATTAATTATAAAATTAATATTAATGATATTAACGATGTTTTAAATATTAATGATACTCCAAGCTATATATTAATGTTATTTCCAAATAAAGAGATGATGGAACAATTATAAATATCATATAATATATTTCAAGATAGTAATATTTCAAAATATTAATGATATTTCAAGCTATGAATTTTGATATTTCAAGGTTAATCTATATTTCAAGCTATAATTTCTATGAAAAAATGTTTCACATGGAATTGTCATATCCATCAATTTAAAGTAGAAATATTATTAATTACTCGAAAGAATGGGATTAATTACTCGAGATTCAAAAATTTCAACCGTTTAATTTTCGAATCCAGTCACTGAGAATGATTTGTGATTTTATCAGAAGAGATTTTCAAGATTCAAACGTTTAAGTTATAGAACCCAAGAATTAATTATAATTAAAAATCTAATTATTTAATTTATACTATGATTGGTACTCGTGGTATGATTTAAAAATGGAAATAAAAATAAAATCATTTAATTTCTTAATTACATTGGTACTCGTGGTATGATTGAAAAACGGAAATAAAAAATAAATCATTAATTTCTTAATTACTCCTTAATTATGATATCTATTTAAACCTTTGACCTCATAATGGTTATGCCATCTTTTATATATATATGTAGCAAACATTTCAATATAGTACGGCCAAACTTCCTTTCCTTCTGATCTTCCATCTAAATTTGACGATTCTTTCCTTCAGATTTACCATCAATATTTACGATGGCCTTGACCAGAAGGCTGGCTGTTTTAGGGTTTTGGATTTCCATGCTCTTAATGACGATGAACCCCTTTCTGGCAAGAGAATTAAGAGATGATACAAGTGCTGTAGTGAAGTTTCCCTCCAAAAGCCAGCTTGGCATAATGGAAACATACATTAGTCCTCCAACTATGGGGGAAGGTGGTAGTCAAATATGTGACCCAAAAAAGGATCCTGCCATATGTCAACAACCGCCTAAGAATCCATGGCACAGAGCTTGTGAAAAAGGGTTACGATGCAGGAGCGCCCCCCCACCGGCGTCTTGAATGGAGGCCATGGAGCAGTTTGGTAAAAAGGAAACACATTCAGTACTATATCCACGTTGAGTTTTCATTATTATATGTTAAGAACTTTATTTCCCCTTTGTTTGAAGAGGAATGGTGCAAGAGTGATCCCCTACCGGCTGCCGACATTAGTAGCAGTTTGATGAATAAGAAAGAACGCCTTTAGTTCTGCATAATCATCTATGATGGCTCATTGAATTTTCATTACCATATATATGCTAATAAAGTGATCTCCTGTTCTATACTAATCTTACATTTATTTTTTCCATATATATATATTTGTTGGCATATAAATTTTATGAGAAATAATTTCTAGAAAATTAAATATTCCTCTACCAATTCAATTGGACAAATAACTATCAGCTATAGTTACTTTCAGCAATCATTCCAAGAATAAACTACTCTCCCAGGAGACTTGAAAGGATAAACATATCTTTAATAATTATACATGCACCTAGAAGAATTAAAATTAAGAACACTTTGAATGTAGACTTCAAAATTAATTCCAAGAATATCAGCAACAGCAGCAGTCTCAAACGTATTTTTGAAACTCTGTTGTTCAACCAGATCCTCTTTTCCATGGGATATATTTATGAAAGGGCAGGGTTCAAACGTAACCGTCTCCTCTGGCCTGTTCCTTTGACGTTTGATGCATCCAAAATCTGCCTGCCATACTCTGTATCAAAACAACTTGAAACCGCAGCTTCTTGTGAGTTGTTTAAATTAAAGGACTTTAAAGTTTCCCTTATGCAAGCAAAGACAGCACCGCTATTTTCACTAGAAGAGCAGATAGTACAGTTTCCACCATCCTTTAAAACTGGATGAACACAGTGTACAAATTTTCCATCTTCAAAGCTGGAATTGCAAATACGAGATGCTGATCAAAAAACGAGAATCATAATTCTTATAGTGAGATCACTTTGCAGCCTTTTGTTAATAATTTTCGTGTTCTTCCCTTATAGTTCCAAGCTCAACGCTTTCCATATAACCAAATTTGTTAACTTCTTTTCAATCTTCAATTTTCAGGATTCCATGCACCTCACTGGTGCTTTACAATGATGAGTACATGAAAGCCGCCGCCTATTCCTGCTATCCACAGTACTTCATCCCTCCCTCAGCCTTGTAAATAATTAATTTGGAGGAATTTGATGAATTCTTGGATGATGAGAACCTTCAATTTTTAATGAAGTGTATTCTAAAACTAAAAATTAACTATTATAGCATTCTTCAACATGAGTAGTAGATTTAGCATTGGTTGACGTGGTCAAACAATATGTATAGCTAGCTATGCAACATGCAAGGATGACTTCCTTCTTCTGTCACACAGCTGCAACATCCATTCCAGAACTAAATGATCAATGTCTTATTCCTTTCGTTTTATGAGGTTTATGATACAGTGTTTTCCTTTTGTTTCAGAACCGTACGTAACATCACACAGGTTCAGGAAGGGTTGGGTGAAGTCAAACCATCTATAGGTTGGTCTTCTACTAGATTTTAACCATGGAACTGGGAATTCTTATTTGTACTTTGTGAAAGTGATGTTTGGTTGATGAAGCAGTATATTTTTTGACAAAAAAAGCTAAAAGATTCGAGCACATGCCAGTTAAGTGTATGTCAAGAATCCACTGCTTTTGTACCAGCGCATTTTCAACTGAAGTATTGGATTTGAGCTCTGTCTTCAAGTCATCTTCCAAACCACCTCTTGTGTTTCTTTCTTGTTTTCTCAAGACGGAACACCACTATTTTCACAAAAAGAGCAGATAGTACGATTCTTTTCATGCTGCAAGAAGAAAATAGGATGCATTGGTAGCAAATGAGGTTGGGCTCAACATAGAAACAATTATGACACACAAATTGAGGCTGGACTTGGATACTAATGAAAGTACCATGATGTGGTGAACTATGAAGATAAACAAGAATGACATCAATTTTTCTTCAATGGCAGATAGTTCAACACTTCAGCCCAAAAGATATTTGCAGAGATTCTATACTTGTTAACATGTTTCCGCGTGAAGGGGGGGAATGAATGACTTCATGTAATGACTTGTTGACATGAATTATTCTGGTATTTTCTCTACCTATCAGGCGAAATTTCAGAGTTCAAAAGGGAACTCAAGCTTATAACATGGAAGAAATCTTTCTACAATAAACAAATCAGCATGTTTCCTTAAAACTAGCGATACCAAAAATCATTAAATCTGCAACTGGGGAAATATGTGCAAATCTGGATGAGGGTGAACTAAGACAAAACTTGTAACAGTTTGGATGGTAAGAAATACTTGCTTGTCTTAGATGATGTTTGGAACGAAGATCCTCAAAAATGGTCGTTGTTGAAGCCTCTGTTATCAAAAGGTGCGTTTGGAAGTAAAATCTTAGTAACCACCCGTAGTCAACGTGTTGTTGAGATTATGGGTACAGTTACTCCATACAACCTAACTCTTCTGGGTCAAAGGGATTGTTTGTCGTTGTTTTACAAGTGTGCATTCAAGGAAAGGCAAATGGAGTTGTATCCAAATTTAGTTGAAATTGGGAAAGATATAGTGGGAAAATGCAAGCAAATTCCTTTGGCAGTGATTAACTTGGGGACTCAACTGTATGGTAAAACTGATGAAAAAGAGTGGGGATCGGTGAGAGATAGTGACAAGTGGGAGGAGAAGGGAGATGGTATTTTACCTGCTTTGAAGATAAGTTATCAACGACTGCCGACTCACTTGAAAAGATGCTTTCTTTATTCTTCCATTTTTCCAAAAGATCATCTCTTCTCGGATCTTGAATTGGTTCAATTTTGGATGGCGCATGGACTCATTCAATCATCAAATCCAAATGAGAACTTGGAAGATGTTGGCTTGCGTTATGTGCGTGAGTTGATCTCAAAATGTTTCTTCCAAGATTACGAGGATTGGATTTTTGGAGCTTTATTTAAAATGCAGGATTTAATGCATGATCTTGCATCATCATTGGCTCAAAATGAGTTTTCAATCATAAGATCTCAAAACCATCAAATTTCCAAAACAACCCGTCATTTGTCAATTCTTGACACTGATTCATTTTTTCACCAAACTCTTCCTAATTTCACAAATAAATTAACTCATGTGCGGTCAATACTCTTTGCAACTGGCCTAGAGGCTCCTAGATGCAAAGCAGACTTTGAGAAATGCTTGTCAGAATTTAAGCATTTGCGGTCTTTGGAATTAATGGATGGTTCTGAATTTGAGGTTTTGCCAGAGAAGATTGGTGCCTTGAAAACATTTGAGATATCTCAGTTTTGCCGGGTGTTCAAAAATGAAAAGACTCCCAAAATCCATTTTCAAATTACAGAATTTGCAAGCTCTGCTTATAGGTGCAAAAGGATTAGAAGAGCTGCCCAAAGATATGAGGTACATGATCACCCTTAGATTCTTATTTCTGGTCACTAATCAGAAGCGGTTCCTAAAAGGTGGGATTGGGTGCTTGGAGTGTCTTCAAACTTTATTTGTTGTTCGATGTAAAAATCTCGAATTTTTTTGCGACGATATGCAAGGTCTTAGAAGTCTTCGTAAATTGGTTATTGCTGGATGTGAAAGTCTAATTCTTTGCCGCAAAGCAAGAAATCCCTAACTGCACTAGAGGAATTGTATATTTGCCATTTGTGAAAAGCTTGATTTGATAATGACAGAAGAAGAAAAAGAAAAAAAAATCCAACTACTTTCCCTTCGGATTGTATTTTTTGGATGGTTAACAACAACAATTACACTACCAAAACAGCTTCTTCAAGGATCTACGAACTCCTTACAAACATTTATCATCGGAGATTGTCCAAACATTGAAGAATTGCCAGAGTGCGTCGGAAATTTAAAGAAACTTCAAAAACTACAGATCAGACATTGTCCAAGGTTAGGCAAAAGGTGCCAAAGGGGAACGGGAGAAGATTGGCCGAAGATCGCTCATATCCCTAGAATCGAGGTTGACCTTGATGACAGTTAATTAGGTGAGGATTATGAGAATTTGATATTTTGTTTCATATTTCTATCCATTATTCAATTTCTTTTCTCGTTTAAATTATTTTCTATAAAAACAATATTAGCTTTGGATAAAAGAAAGAACGCCATGTTTGTTCTAATTAATTTCACAAACCTCTTTTGTTTTGGAGGGTGAGATTCACATGGAACTCCTTTAGCTTTACCAGAGAAAAGGAACAAGGCAGCGTATGTCATGATATTGCATTCTAATTAAAAGCTAACTAATACATTCAGCAATTTTCTACAGCATTATTAAATTCTGTGTATGCATGTCTGATATTTTTCAGCTTTCACTGGTGTTTTTGCTGATGGTTATTCGGAGACTTCGATGTATCCAGTGTTGTTGCTGACAATTTAGTTTGTTCCAATAAAGATGATGAACGTTTTCTGGAGATTAATTTCCATTATCTTTGTGCTTTCCTCGGAGTTCCTGCTAGTAAATTATCTGTTGTTGCTACGATTTCCAATCCTTGTGCCCTGGCCTAATTGCTTACGACATTCCCGCATTTGTTCTTGATGTTACCTGCATTCAGTTTATTTGCTGATCACGGAGTTTGCTCTCTCGTTGTTGATCTTTGGTTTGGTTTCTTGAGCAAATGTAAAAGTTATTTCATATATTCGAGCAACCATGCCATGGAAGTTACCCAACCGGAAGGGCCAAACACTCCACTAGTTTGTTAGCATGACGGTCGAGAAATATGTGAAGAAGCTCATTTGGACCATCAATCTCCATTCTCTCCCGATTCCCAGATACGACAATATCTCATAATGTTCATATCCATATAAATTCGACAGCTGATCTCAGGACATAGGCTGCCTCTTCCAAACTGACATGTTCGTTAGGGAACATGTAAGTGTCCTGCATTTCATTCTTAGTAGTGTATATAACAAGAAACCAAGAGTCTTTGTTTTCCCAGTTCCTGGAAAAATCCCATAGTAATTTGACAGTATTCTGATGACAGCATCCAGTTCTGGTAATGCAGCTTAAACCTGCTGCTTGTTGCTAGTCATTTCAACTAAAAGATGGTAGTATGTCCCTTATGCTCTGAAGAGGAAACACCACTATTTTCACTAGAAGAGCAGATGACAACAATGTGGTGAAGTATGAACATAAACAAGAATGACGTTAGAATTTTGTTCTTCAATGGCAGATAGTTGAACGCTTCAGCCCAAAATATATTTGCAGAGATGCTACGCTTCAGCCCAAATTTTTCATCTATTTAAGCTCAGCTTGTGGACTATTTTAGGGATGCGACAACATTCAAGGCTTTCTCAAGTTCTTTCCGTTTTTACCCTTTACGGTTTACCTTTAAAATTTAATTTTTATAGTTCAGGCTACATCATTTTTCTACAATTCATTTAAGATGTTAACTTTCTTGAACTTTGAAGAACAAGTTGCATAGCATGAATATGAAAGTGCATTTGGAATTGAAAGAGTAAAAACACGTTGATTTTTCTTTTGCCATTATTTTTTTTTTATCAAACTAATATTATTTTTACTTTTTACACAATAAAAAATCCGATCAACCCCTAATATTATAGAGGTCAAATCTTATGCTAGGTTTTAAAAGCATAAAAAAAAAACACCAAATAAAATATGAAAATTCATTAAAATTAAACAATGAGAGATGGAATTACAAATAAAAAATGATTAAAATAAAACTCAAAATAAAAAAAATTATAATTAGAAAAATAAAAATCAAATTCAACAACAAAAGGAATTAAAATAAAATTATTATGGATGAAATTAAAAAACAAAAACAAATTAGAAAAAAGAAGAAGATTAAAAGCAAAATAAATAGGAATAAAAAAATAAAAATTAAATTTGATTAAAAGACATAAAAAATCAAATGTCAATGAATGAAATTAAAAAATATATAAATTAAATTCAATATAATTAAAAAATTAAGGATCACTTTGCAATTTTACAATATTAACATATTTTTTACAATACTTTAAATGTTGCCCCAAAAGCAGACCAATAATAATTAAAAGACATCACATGCTCCGCCTAAAAAGTACAGACACTTTTCATCTATTAGTATTATCATCTTTTTTATTTATAAGAAGACTAAAATACCCTTGACCCCATGTGATAATTACAAAAAAAAATCATGTCAAAAAATCAAAAATACCCCTTTAACCTTAAATAAAAAAAAAAGAAGTTAACCCTCACTACTATTTAATAATTATATTATATACAAAATATGAAAATTCAAAACACTCCTCTAGTTTTTTTAAAAAGGCACACTGTACAACAATAAAATGTAAAAATACTATTTTAACCCTGAGCGATTGATTAATCATTTGGTTTTTGAAGGTTAAAATGATGAATTTTACTGTTCACATGCAGAATAAAACACTGAGGGGAATTAGTTTTATGTTAATTCTAAGTAGTATCCTTGATTTTTATTCTAGGATTTCCACTGTTCATATTAACCATGGGTTTGGAAGCCCAAAGCCTTCCATCATTATGTTCAACGAAGAACAGTCTTTCATTATGCATTTATTATACATCCAAAAGCTTATATCTAAGAAAGTGAGATGAGAGTGAAAATATTTTCTCGATGGGTGTTTCTTCATCTCTTAGCCATAGAATGAAATTTTTTTAATTTTTTTTAAAGGAATCGGTGTTTTAATTGATAGATTTGCATAGGAAAAGCTTTTTTGTTTCATTTTTTTTTTTATTTTGGTCCTTCAATTTATTTATTTTTATTTAATATTTTAATATTTTATATATTTAGAATTGATCATGATAATTTATTTTTATACATGGAGGAATATTTCATCACTCAATTGATTATTAATTTGATAAAATAAAATTAAATTAGCATTAGCATTAGGTGCATGCAAAGGGCTAGGATCTGATCCCTGTATACTGGCTTTTTGCAGTAGCAAATATTCTGGCTTGGTCTCAGCTTCAATTACCATTAGGCTTGATGTCATGTCTATTATTCAACCCAATAAATGTCGGGCCAGAAATCAGGCGTTTCAGTAACACAAATAATATAGCTACAAAAATCATCTGAAGGATATGATCATCTTGATTCCATAATTCCATTTCATAGTTATAAAATATAAACATTAACATTGAATAGATTGACGACACAAGAAAGGAAAAACATCGTATCATTAATTTTGACCACCTTTTTGCAACACAAGTAGTAGATTTAGCGTAGGGTGACATGGTCAGACAAAGATATAGCCAGGCAACGTGCAAGGATATGACTTCCTCCTTCAGTCAGAGAGCTGCAATCTCCCCTCAAGAACTTGTTGAACAGCCTGAGGAGTCAAATTGCTATCTTAATTTTTTTTTTCTTTTTAACACGTTAGAACAAGAGAGTTTATTTTAAGGTCAATTTGACTATAGTAAAGATGTCCTTACCACATTAGTTAATTATTAGTACTTGGACTTCACCACCTAGGTTTTGAATCCATTCTTCCACTGCTAAATCCATATTTCCTGTTCCTGTTCCTCCAGGGCGCCTGTCTGATATTTAATGATATCATACAAGAATCAATGACAGAATTTGAAGCTGACAAAGACAACATAGAATTGATCTTTCTCTTTTTTTTCTTTCGGAGGATATTCTACAGTGAGACCTGGGAAACATATTGTTCAGAAATTTCGTTTTGCATACCTACTATTTGTTACTGATGCTTCTGATTCATCACTAATAACAAGTGAAGCCAATGGTTGTGACAGAAGCTCTGCAGGATCAGTTTCAGGGTTACTACTCTCGGCAGCACCACCGAAACCCAGTGGCCATCTCATTGGAACAACCAAATTCCTGCAATTCAAAAAAGACAATGCAATGATAATTGATTTTCATTTGCTTCAGGCCAGGAGAGCAACTATAGTAGGGAATACCCCTTCTCATCCAAGTATCATTACCCAAAGCAATGGATGTTTAGCCTAATGGTATTCTTTCTTGCAAAGAAAGGAGGGGAGAGGTCCCAGGTCAGGTTTGAGACCTGCCCTTGTTGGATAAAACAGAAAAAATCTGAGGTTCGTCATTGGATTCCTACTGCTGATCAAGGCAATTCAAGCAGCCGTTGATGCATAATACCAGAATCTAGAAGAATGAAAATAGAAAAATGCTTACCCTTCTTTACATTTGTGCTTGCAGCGATTCATCTTATCAACTGTATAATTCCCAAAGACATCATCGAGATGCCTTGCCAGTTTTGGTAAATCAGGTAGTGGTAAAACATCCCACACCTTGAGAATTTGTGTGTGGTTTGAGTTTTCCTTGATTCCATCCACTGTCCAAATCAGTTTAAGCTGATCATTGACTCTGTATTGTTCTAACAGTTCAGAAGAAGTTCCATGCCGGACAACGATGTTTCTCCCTTCAGGAGATTCCCTCCAGCCACTCGAAAGCTTTGCCAACAAAGAAATCACTTCCTGACGAGCCTCATTTCTCACATTCAGAATGGATTTCCGAAAATCGTTACTGAAACAAAACTTTAATGGGAAAAAGGATTGAGGTGATAAGTCCACCGAGTAGCATTCAGCTTGAGACATGACAATGAGAACTAACAAAACAATCGAGAAACAAGAAAAATGAGCACACATACCTTCCATCTTGCATTTCTGAACAGTGGAGAATTCACATTCAGCAGAGCATCAAGTTGGTCCGATTCTAATAAGGCATCCGTAATAGCCTTGGACAAGCTTTTATCCTCCTCGGCATTATAGAAACACCCCCGTTCCTTGGCATCAGTAACTAATTTCTTCCAAATAGAATCGCTGTTGACAAGAGTTGCTCCATTTCCCAATATCCAGAGGCAGTGCCTTCATTAGACAGCACATCAAAATTGTTATTCAAAATCATCAATACACGAAGCATACACACACATTAACTTGCAAAAACTTGCAATGCTAGTGGCTGACTTCTGGTATTTGGAAATGATACCTTGCACGGGTCAATGCCACATTCACCCTTTGGCGATTGGCAAGGAAACCTACTTTTCCATTTGCATTACATCTAACAGTAGAGATAATTATAACATCCTCCTCGCCTCCTTGAAATCCATCGACAGACCGAATATTTACTGCAAAATCATCATGTGCACTGTAAGTCTTTCCAATTTTTTCTTGAATTGCATAAACTTGAGCGTTGTACGGTGATATGACTCCTACGCTCATCCTCTTTCTTGCCCTTGTAAATTCTGCAATGGAAAGATAACGAAGGCTTTAGCTTTCTCACTAGCCAACAAAAAAGCAATTGAAACCAATAGCTATGTCATATATATGATTTCCCTAACACCATTTCTAAAATGCTTACCATTAAAAAGGCTTGCAACTAGCTCTGAAACTACAGCAACCTCGACCAAATTTTTCTTGCTGCCACCGTTATTGAATTGTTCTTTCCCACTGGCTACATTAATAAATGAGTAAGGCCCATACATATTGCCTCCCGTACATATTGCCTTGAAGGAATCGTTTCTGATAGTTTCTTTCTTTGACAGTTGAAGCATCCTGAATTAGCCCATCATAGAACTCTTTATTTGGGAATAAGCTTATAGATGGATGCATCCTGTACTGCATATTCAGTAGTTGTTTCTCGTGTCCCAGTATGACCAATCTCTCGAACAAACTCCTCCCGAATTCAGCTTCCTTGGAAATCTGATCAAGTTATTTGACAAAAACATTAGACCTTAAAAACTTTTAAATTACTCAGAAAATGGAACGCAAAAAAGATGCACCTCATCACCTCGCTTTGAACCATGGCAGGAAGTTGGCGCTCGTCACCAATAATAACGGCATGGCGAAGACCAGAAAGCTGCAATGGAATGGTCGATTCACATTCCTTAAGCTGCGCAGCTTCATCAAAAACCAACAATTTTATCGGTGTCATTCCTTCTGTGTGCAACTTGGCAGAGCTTGAAGCGGTACAGAATACCAGACATGCATTTTCCAAGCAAAAGTTTCTCACTTGATAACTTTCAAAAATATTGGGCACGTCAAATGCTCGAGGAAGTGAATTCAGTATCTGAATGCAATCCTTTCTTTTAGTGGCCAACCATGAAAATTGACAGGCATTGCTTTCTTCATTTTTTATGTCTAGCTTTAAACCTTCATCTCCTATGCTAACACCATTCAACAATGTTTTGAGGCAGCTGAGTAAATCAAGAGCTTTTATCATGTTCTTTACAACTTCTACTGAAATGACAGACGTTGGCAAATGCGTATACAAACCTACAATTAAAAAATCCAACTTCTCACCAAGGATATTGAACCTTTTCTTTACAAATTCCTCGAAGGGCAGTATATTATCTTCCTTGTTTTCCTTTCCATATTGATCTCCATTTCCCTTACACTTTGGAAGCCTTTCTTGATGAGAAGAAAGCAGCTGCTTCTGCTTTTCAGTTTTCTTGTTGTCTTTCAATGCCTGTAAAAGAATTTTCTTCAGAACTTTCCTGCTGTTCCGGCCCTTCTGGTTTTGATCATTGACCACTTCATCCTTCTCTTTATTGCTGTTCATCTCTTCAAATTCAATCATTCCATCATCCCGATCCCCTCCCTCCTCCTCTTTTTTCATGTTTTCCAAGTAACAGCAGTACTGATGCTCAGGATCTTCAAGCAAATTTATCATTGAATCTACAGTGTGCTTCCACCCGGTTGACGGGGCAAAGCAATGATAAAGCACTTCAACCCGATGGTCAAGAAATATATCTTCGAGATCATCATTCTCAGAAATCTTCATTCGCTCCCCATTCCCAAAGAGAACTATATCCCCAAGTCCATAGGTGTCATATTCAAGAGAGTCTGTAACTAGCTTTAGGAGTCCCGATGTCACTTGCAACACAGCAATATTGGTTGGAGCACATGTAAGTGTCCTGCACTTCAATTTAAGTAGAGAAAACAATAACGAACGAACTGTCTGTGTCTTTCCAGTCCCTGGAGGACCCCAAATTAGTTTGACAGTGCTTTGATGTTGGCATTCACTCAGACCAATGCAGCTTGCAATTGCATCTTCCTGTGTGTCGTTTAAATTAAAGGAGCTGATTATGGTTTCTTCCATACCAGAAAGTGCAGCACTTCTATTCACTTCAGATAAGCAGTGAGAACAATCCTGGCTATCCTGCAGGAGAAGACACAGCAACCGTCAGTTAAGCAACTGAATGATTAGAATAGAACTAGAACTTCCATACTCATAAAGAACAATTATTTCGCCTTCTTACAGGTGAACTACTTTCAAGCACACTCTGGATAACGTTCGTGTTCCCTCCTTGCAGATCTGAGTTCAATGATCTCCATATGCGGACATTCGTCGTCATGTTTGCTAGGTAAACAACGAAGAAAGTGGCTCTTCTTCTCTTTTGAATCTCTTGTCCAGCAAAGACAGACTCCCTTTTATTATGCCTGTTTTCTAATTCAAATTGAATGGGTTTGGAAGTGAGAATTGATACCATTTCATGATTGGTGTCATCATCCAGCTCATTAGATAGCCTATGAACATAAGCAAGAAGATAGTTTATCCCAGGCCTGTTCAAATCAGCAATGTCTTTCGGTCTTGCATCTGTCAAAGCAATGAGATCTCCAACCTCAGGCTCGTATATTCCTTTCCCGTTTCCAGTTTTTCTCATTCTTTTCAACCATATCTTATAAAACAAGTCTTTGGGAGGTTTATACTCTTTTGATCTTTCAATTGAAAAGATCTCCCTTGTAGGTGCTTGGGAGACCTTCATCATGTTTGAGCACAAATCTGCACGAGTTTCCTCAAGAAGAGCAGGAATGAATGACTTCATGTAATGTGACGTTGACGTGAATGTCTCCGGTATCTTCTTCACCTGTTGGTGAGTAATTTAGTGCCACCGACATCAAATGCAAGAAAATAAAAATCGGTCAACTGCATTTACAGTTGCTGTCAATTAATCTTACGTCAATTCTGAAAATTCCAAAAACATGAAAAGAAACCGCTACTGTAAATGATCCTCAAAGAACTTATGTTCTGCTTTACTAACCATTGGATGCTTAGCTTGCTGGTCTAAGCCTTTCCAAAGAAAAGTAGAGGGATCAAGTCTAAGTTCATGCCAAGATTGATCTTGTTTCACCAAAATATTAATGTCGTGCAAGGAGAAGTCTCTAAATGATATCAACTTACCAAATTTAATCAGTAGAAATGTAACTTGTACAGATTTTAACTGGAAAAAAAAAAACATATCAAGTGGATCGTACACATAAACATGACAAAATGGCATTCATGCAAACCTGATTTTTGTAAAGATCTCTGTTAAGTACTTCCCTGATAGACCAAGAGAACACCAAATCTAATAAGCTTCTACTAGCAACTTCTTCTTCAGTTTTCGCTGCAGTCTTCTCCATCATTTCTCCTCTCTAGTTAGCTTCTGTAAAATCAGTTGACAAAGCCAATAATGAGATGAAAATAAAAGTCTTGAACATATGAAGAAACGATGCAACAACAGATTTCTTATGAGAGAAGAAACCCAACAGTAAGACCAGTACAGATATTTATCTTGTGACAATGCTTCTTTTTTCAATAGCTACCAAAAACCCCAACAAATGAAAAGAAATGGACGTACAGATGATTTAATGAAAACGGGCCCGAGATTCCTGAAGAATCAAGAATGAAGTGGAAAGAGCACGTTGACTACAAGTAAATCAAAAGTAATTAAAGCAAGCAGTGTTGCTAGTCTTGCTGGTTTGTATGGAAAATACATGAAGGTCTCCTGTTTATATGGAAAAAAGAGAGGGAGCTTTCATACGTGGAGGCCGAAGGACTTTTCAAGTTCATATTCCTTTATTGTGACAAATACCGAAGGAGAGGAGAGGACAGGCATGCTTGCGTACGTTACGATGATTCTCTAATTTTCTGTCCCATCCCCAGGCACAAAGGATTGCGTACGTTACGATGATGCTCTAATTTTCTGTCCCATCCCCAGGCACACACTCCCCCCGAGAAAATCCCATGCACCCGAAATACTAGGGTTTTATAACCTTAAGCTGTAATTTCAAGTGTGAATTCTGAACCCACATGGATGCGAACAGGAAGCAGAGTGTCCAAACCATTTTCCAGTTTTCACATATAACAACTACAAATTAAGCATCTTTATTACTGCCATCTTCATCAAGATATCACCCTAATTTGCAAAAGTGCTGAAAAGGAATTGAAACATTTGCCACATGAGGCTTCAATGTTGGCTTCTCCATGACATGAGTTGTGCTGATTTTTATTTTATTTTTTTCATCTGGGAAGTGGGAACAGGGACAGAAGGAACAGCCAGCTGTTCAACTACAAGAGATGAGAGTAGAGTGGGACACTCTTCACCTTAAAATTGAGGATCCAAGGGAAGTGATGACCACATTCTCTCGTCTCCTGGTCAATTTCTCGCCTCCATTCACCCTTCAAAACTTAAGAATACAAAGTGTATTTGATCGTGGTTTTCTGAATGTTTTTTAATTTTTTTTAAATGTATAAAAATAATATTTTTTTATTTTTAAAATTTTATTTTTTATATTAATACTCGTTACCTGTGCCCAGTATCCTCAGATAACCAAGGTACGACCGCCACTTCCCGCGAGAAATTACAGCACGCCCTTAAAAAAGGGGTGGTGGTGGGACCCCTTTTTTCTTTCTTGTTTATTTTGATTTTTCACTCTTCCTCAGTAAAAAGTAAAAAGTAAAAAACAAAAATTGAATTGCGCTGAGGTATATATTAAGATTAAAGTAGTTGGTGGATAAGTTTAATATATAAATAAAGACCAAAACATTCATTTTATGTTTTCAATTTAAACACAATTTACCCATAGTTTATCTGCATTTTTTTTATTTACGCAATGTTTTTGTAAAATAATTTCTTTAATATTTTACGTCTGATTCATTTGAGAAAACTTCATGAGTATAAATACTTTATGAAAAAAATAAGTTGCAATTTTTAAAAGATAAAAATATTTTACAAAACTATATTCCTCTTTAAATTATGGACGCACCACTGATTAATTACTTTTATTACCACTTGTTTTCTATATATCAAACCCCAAATAATTTATTTTAAGCATTTTTTAACACGCTCAAGCAAAAAATAATATATTACATGTAAGGCTTTTCTCAAAAACAAGTTATTTTACACAAAACAAAATTAATATACTAGAAAAAAAATTACTTGAAAATTAGAGGACGATTTCATTACCGCAACACTATTAAAATCATATAAATTCAGACATAAACAATTGCATATGAATTCTTACATTCAACATGGAGTCCAATGTTCATTTTTAAAATCAAATTAAATTGTAAACAATGACACTTAGATTGTGAAATTTAATAAAATATTGTAATATTAAAAACATGGTCTCAATCAAAGTTATTCAACTCTATTGAGTTCACATGTCACGGATTTAACTACTTTAACTAATATTGATGCAAATTAATTTAAAAGAATATTATTTTAATTTTAAAAAATTATAACAATATTATTTTAATATATATAGATATA